TATTTGGTGTGATAACTCTTTGCTTTAAAAAAAAAACATTACTAATCTCAGGTACAATTTGTGCAGTTTTTTTAAGGAAATGAGCTGTAAGTTTTACTGAGCATCTTGCAGAAGCAGCCACAGTTCTTCTCTGGAGACTTTGACTGTCGGACTTGCTTCTTATTTTTGCATGCAAAACCCAGCAGCCTTCATTATGTTTTTGTCTGAAAAGTATGTAATATGCTGCTTCTTTACTGACAAACATTTTTCTGTAAAATTTAATTTAGGTTTATATACATATATATATATATATATATATATATGTGGATGTGAACTTTATATATATATATATATATATATATATATATATATATATATATATATATATATATATATATATCAGGGGCGTTTCCGCCGAGGAGGCAAGGGAGGCAGTGTCTCCTCAAAAAATTGGATGAGAAAATAATCGATATTGCAAAAATAAATCGACGCAAATATTACTAAAAATAACATTAAAAGTATAAAAGTCACTCGTTTTTATAAAGTAACACTGTCCAACACCCGCAGGTAAAGTTACAGGGGAGGCTTGCCTCCCCTCAGCCCATTGACAGAGACCCCATAACATGCCGTGGGTTTAGTGGGGGGTCATTGAGAATGAAAGTCACGTGAGAGGAGGCAACGCCTCCATCGCGCTATAATTGGATATGATCGGTTATGATTGGATATGATCGGTTATGATTGGATGTGATCGGTTATGATTGGATGTGATAGGTTATGATTGGATGTGATCGGTTATGATTGGATGTGATAGGTTATGATTGGATGTGATCGGTTATGATTGGATGTGATCGGTTATGATTGGATGTGATCGGTTATGATTGGATGTGATCGGTTATGATTGGATGTGATAGGTTCGTTCGATAAATCCCGCCTCTTGTTTTCGTGCGAGCTCTCGGCCTGAATGGACAAAATGATGGCGTTACTGACTAATTATAAAGTAAGTAAACAACTCACCTGTATATATATATATATATATATACAGTTAGGTCCGGAAGTATTTGGACAATGACGGAGTTTTTGTGATTTTGCCTTTATACACCACCACAATGGATGTGAAATAAACAATGAAGATGTAACCAAAGTGTAGACTTTCAGCTTTATTTTAAGAGGTTCCACAAAAATATGGCATTTACCATTTAGGAATTACAGCCATTTTCAGCAAAGTACCTCCATTTTCAGGGGCTCAAAGGTATTTGGACAATTGACTGACGAGAAGTTAATTGACCAGGTGCGGTCCATTCCCTCGTTGCTTCAAGACAAATAAAGCAGATAAAAGGTCTGGAGTTGATATCAGGTATTGAGTTTGCATTTGGCAGCAGTTTGACTGGAGCTACCAATATGAAGTCTAAGGAGATCTCAATGCAAGTGAAGGAAACCCTCATTAGGCTGAAAAAACAATATAAATCTATAAGAGAGATAGCAAAAACCTTAGGTGTGGCCAAATCATTGGGTACATTCTTAAAAAGAAAGAAAGCACTGGTGAGCTCAACAACATCGAAAGGCCTGGAAGACAACTAAAGTGGATGATTGCAGAATCCTTT